GTCACTCCTAAGGGTTTGGAATGGCTTTTACTGCGTTGATCTTCTTCATCCTCCAGTCATCTTCTTGCTGCCTTTTCCCCATTTGCGCCTTCTTTCCATCATTCCTAACATTCATAGTTACACGACCATGTTACTCTTCTTCTCAGATATACCAAAAGAACATCCCTGTTCCCAACCTTTGAATCTTAATGGTCTTTAGGGTGTCTTTACTGACACATCCTGGGCTTTGTCCTTATCAACAGGCTGTTATTCTTTCACGTCATCTCCAGATCACCACACGCCCCTAGTGTTTTACTGTCATTTTTAAAAAATATTTTTTTTTGGTATAACCATCCGATTATGGCATTTCCAGCAGCGTGACTTTCATGCTTCAAATCTCAGCTTCAATGCCTGTGACATCCCGTACGAGCTGGACTCGGACCCATGCCCATAGTCACGCTGTGGCTTTTACTGGTTCAGCTAACGACAAGGTTACCCTATTGCTTTTCTTCTATTTCAATGGGACAGATGCTGTCCCTTAGCAAACCTGAGTTAAGAGAACTCCAAGATACAGGAACTATTACTCCCATTTTACCTTTGTGTTGTCTATCTGGATTTCTCCTTACCCATTTCTTCCCATAATAATGACAGGACTTATTTATGTATAGTGAGTTTAAATTATAAAACTTATACAACTCCTACACCCATACACCCAAAGCAAGCCTACCAGTCAAACTTTATTATCAAAGCTACTATTTATTTCTAATTACAGAAATGGCACAGTTTGTCTTAAGTCAGCTATATCTATACGATGTTTAATTAGTCTGACAATCAAAATGTGCCAAAACAATTTTGGAAAATTAAGGACATGGAGAGGTTTTAAAAAGCCACACCCAAGCACCACCATGCTTAACATCCCGGACTGCTTGTGTTCACTGTGTTTATATAGAACACTGAGCTCATAGTTCCCATGCAAACGAAGAAAAAAAACATTTACTGCATTAGAACATGACCATTTTCAGTACACAAAACGTTCTCCTTTTATGCAAAAAAAAAAGCCACAACTTCAGATGTGCGTCATATGTCACATTTTGTGTACAAAAAACCTATTTGAAAACCATAATTGCACAATAAATAAAAGGAACCATTCTATGCAGGCTACATTTTGTAGAAAGATATGCACCACATACTAAACTATCAATCTATTCTTCTTTTATTATAAACAGAGGAATCCTTCTTTACAGCTGCCTGGATTGACAATATTGCTGTAAATCTCATTTTGCCAAGAGCAACATTCTAGTAACTGGGAATCTCCTACCCCTTACCCACCCCCAGTTAATACAACCAAGAATTCTTCACACTCTTCCATAGCTGACAAACACATCAGAAAGTATGGTAGGATACTTTCACTGAAGTATCTGGTGTCAAGTCCATCAAATAAAAAACTGCATGGAAAACAGACATTTTTTTTAATGTTACTTAACATGGGTTAAATAATTGCACATTTATAGTGGGGTTACAGTAATCTTCCTTGGGTCAAGGCTTCACAGAGACTACCAGGGAGTTCACACACATCTCTAGAACACACTTACACGTGCTGTGCTGGCCCACACTGGTCTGCTTAAAGAGAGGTCACAAAAGTCATGTGATCAGTTTATTTTTAGCCATTTCTTTCCACTATGGCTTTTAAAGTTACTTCCAAACTTGGGCTGCTGGCTACTGAAGGACAGAAAATTCACATTCTGAAAGTATCTGGGAGAAGTACAATGCAGTGAAGCATTTTATACATCAAGATCTTATCTTGTTGTTTGTTTTTGCGCCGGTCCTCAATTCTTAAGAGCAAGATACCCACATTTAAAAAAGGAAACAGATCTGGAGGATGAGAAGATGAGAAAATTGAATTACTTATTGTAATACTTAAGAGATACAATGCAGTGCAATCATGCAATCTATCCTGTTTGAACTACTCGTGACATGACATTTAAAAAAAATCTATCTGCAATTCTTAAACAGAGCGCTATCAAAAAAACGGTCTAATTTTTTGTTACATAGTACATATTTACATTTAATAATGCACACAAGACCACTGTTAAATCTTCATAAATAGAACCACGGCCAACCCTGAGTCATGTGTTCAACTGTCAGCTTCAGAAGCACAGAGCACACAACATGCACTGACAGGATTGGACTAGTTTACAATAGCAAAGAAATCCTCCACATTGCCTTATGGCTCGTTTTAACAATGACATAAACTCTTTTCACATGTTTTCAAACAGACGCAAGCAAACTTCCTCTGCCACGGTTCTTCTCTACTGCTGCTGTAAGATATTTTAGGTATGACTCTGCCATTTAATATCTTCCTGCCTGCGATCTATTTCTGTATCCCTTTCTAAAATGGCTATAGCACATATACATGTAAACTTTCCATGTTTGTTGTGAGGAAGTCTCCAAATTGCTCAAAATAAGAAGGTTTTGGTGTCATTGCAACCTCAATCTTATGTACCAACTTTAATGTTTTCAATAAAAACATAACACCTCAAATTGTATAAAGACAAGATTATAGCTTTATCAATAACATATTTCAGATTTGAGGTACATCTTTGTCCAGAAATAAGCCTTGAGTATTTTAAAAACAGAAAAACAAAGAGTTAAATGTTTCTAATAAGGTTGTCCAACAGAAAACCTTCAAGATCAAAAGAAAGTTGTATTTAGTGGAAAAAAAAGAATTAATATTGCTTTATTCAGTTTCACGTAACTTTTCTGGATCGGCAACAGCACATCTTTCTATTTGAATGGTCAAGACGCAGGTCTGGTTTGACAAGCAAAGATACTCTATTAGAGAAGCAGACATTTTGGGAAACAGGTGGGAAAATGACACCTTAGTTTAAAAATGTCTATTAAAACCCAACTAGGTGTGAGCTCAACCAAAACACAAGCAAGCCTTAACTATGTCCAAGACAGCACAGAGACACAAACAGAACTGCCTCTGAAGTATGTTTCCCATCACCCCTTGCCCAAACCCAGTCTACCGAGGAGTAACACTATCAGACATGTGGGGAGGACCTAGAGGTACATCTATGCCCAGAATATACAGTAATTCCCCAGCTGCTAGACAGCCCAAAGTGGAGAGATTCTACAAACACAATGTAAACCATAGCACTTGCACGGTCCTAGAAACAGCACAGTACCCATATCCACTATGGGAAACACATGCAAGGAAAATGAGATCCCAACAATAAACCAAAACCACAGATGCATTAGAGGATGCCTGATTACAGCAAGTGTGTGGAGACTATGCTGGCTTTCCAAAATCACCTCACAATGTATAGGAAGGGCAGCTGCAAGTGGAACTGAACAGTGACAGCAGACAATATCGCCACTTCTAAAGACCTGATCAGATGTTGGCTTTACAGAAGCAACAAACCCAGCAGGACACAGGACCCAAATGTAAATCTGGAAGTTTAAAAAATAGCTTTTGATTTCATCTTGTGCGTTAAATAAAGAAAAACAAAACTGAAGCAAAAAGCTGCCTAATATAGCTCTTTAAAGCAAAACTACACGTGAACAGCCACGTGATACACGTTAAATATTAAACAATAATACGAGGTCCAAGATGAACACTTTCACAAGTGCACTTTACACGTCAAAACACAAGCATAAAAAGTATGCTGTAGCTTTCTTATTCTGAGAGGCTACTTTATCACGTTGAAAATCATTTTATTTTGACCCGTCTGAATTCACTCAGCTAGAGCAATCCGACTTTGAATCTCTGACGGAAAAATTGCTTATAATTTGCAACCTGTGTTATCTTCTGGCTTAATGAGGCATCACGCGATTTGCTAACACGTCAGTGTGGCCCCGCAAAACGGGACGTTTTGCATGTTAGTCCATTTGAGGTATTAATGACTTAAGCGAATTAATCATTAAGATTTACTATAAACTAATTAGCCATGGGTCACTGTTGACTTTAAAAATCGGGACTTTGGATTTTGAATTCTAGCCTTTGTGTTGTTACCCCTTTAATTGTTTTAACACCTCAAACCTTGACTCCTTTCTGACGATCTAAACAAATCCAGTCAAGATAAACGAAAACCTTTGCTTTGTCTCAGTCTAACAAATGCACTGAAACGTGGTTTTAAAATGCTCGAAATCATAGGAAGGAGGTTATTTAGGAATTACGTTCTGAAAAAATTCTATTACTTTAACTTATTAGTTAAAAACGCAACTAACAGGAGAAATGTTTGGCAGACAAAATGTGAAGCAAGGGCGAAGTTCGTCCTTAATAGCCTTTTTATCTTCAGTGCAAACAAATTACTCTAAGCATATCGACAAGAGAGGATTTGCTCAAGACTACATCCCTTTCAGTTCAGGAAAATCTTTACGTTAGCAAAATGCTTTCAAGTGACAACGGACTACTGCACTCAACACGTCAATAATGCAACAAACAGTACAGTTAAACACCCTAGCTCCGCGTTGAACGAAACCCAAATTGAGAACCAGTACTGCCTGATAAAGATACAGTATAAAAAAGATAAAGCACTAGTTTTATGGCTCGCTAGTAAGAGACATACTGTATGCATTTCCAGGAAACGGATTCTTTTCGCTGTTAAGTGTGTAAGAGTGGCTAAACTGAGAAGAAAGAATATAGAGGATGGCTGGTGCTTACGTAGGCTGGAAGTCCCTGCACCCTCGGTCTCTAACACATAAAAAAACAGTTATATAGTTTTAACAAGTTATTTGCTGGCCATGTAGGTACATCATTAATCTTAAAAATAGTCAATATACTTTAAAAGCACTGTAGCTGGGACAGCAGGAGCTACACATATTTGAGGTGCCACCGTGTAAGTACTGTACGTTCAGAGGGTACAATTATTTCTACTGAAGAAAATTCTTGTTTAATTCATTTTAATTACATTATTGAACTACAAAACAAATAAACACATAAAAAACCCACAATTCACTGTGAAGCAAATATAAACTTAAGTAGAAATTAAGCAAGCTATCTTACTGCTGAAACTTACGTTTGGTGGCATTGATAAGATTTTTCCCATCCTTGTAAAGTTCTTTTATAAACCTGTTGGTTTTATCCAGCTCCGCTTCGTGTGCCTTTATTCTTTCCCTGAAAGAAGGACTGTCCAAGTAGCAATCACTGAACTCCAAAGGTTGCAGTCCCATGTCTGCTGATCACACAAAATACTATCCCGGGAAACAGCGGAGACCGTACCGAGAGCTATAGCCTACTCGAGAGCTGGGGACGGGCAGCGGCGAAGTACAGCATACACAACTTTTGGAACAATGAAAAAATGGCGCGATTTCTCTGTTGGAAAAAAATATGAAGACTTATAATAGAATCCGCTTCACAAACTCTACGTCAAAGAACAGACACCTGAGTAAACAATAAGGCTCTCTTAACTTTTTCATTTATGCAGTCGCGTGTGGGACTTCAAGTGAGCTTTGGCAAAAGTCCTCCCTCCGAAGGCGGGGTTAAATTTTTCAGCCGGGGAAAATTCGTGACTGGTTAAAATGCGTGTCAATCAACGTATTGTCCTACCTAGCTAATAGATAAAATCCAGAGCTTAGACCTATGCACACCCAATTCTACTTTGCTACGATTTACCCATAAATCCAACTTTGTTGATGCCTTTTAGAATTTGAAACGAGCAGGTGCACCTCCAGAATGTATCCTATTGGAAATAGTCCCATCTTTGACTTTGATATTTATAGACTTCGTCTATAAAGTATTGCATGAGGGAGACTAAACAATAGCTTCAAATATCCCCACACTGCTAATGGCAAAGACAGGAAGGGAGTGGGTAGGCATACAGTATAGGGCCAGCCTTCATAGAACTGTAAAAAAAAAAAAGAATATCTAAAGTTGTGAACAATATACCCCATCTTTCACATCATGGAGACGTTAGTTTCTGAGTATCATTACCCCAATGACGCACAGTTGTCACTACTACTTAGAAAGAGAGAAATAGGGAGAGCAAAACAGAGAGGGACTAAATAGTAGAGATAAACACCAAACTGTGCATGCAGGGCTTACTTGGGCTAAAGGTTATTGCTAGTTATTATAGAAAGAGAGCAATAAAATATTGACTATACTTGTAAAGCAGTGACCAGATCTCCTAACACCACAAGGCCGAGTATCTGACCAGGGTGAGTAACAGGGAAAAGCGAAGCCAGAAATGCACTTTCTGCTACACTGCACAAAATATTTAGAGCTTAGAGAAACACTCTTAAATAGCAGAATAGCAGATCAAATCTCTGAATTTCCATACCAGCAAGAATCTGAGCATTATGAAACCTATAAGGAGAGGAACAAGGAAACTTAATAGAGCTGTATGTAATCATTTCCTGTCATACCCTGCATGATGAACAGAGATTTAGCCACTCAAATAAAACCATTGTTAATGTTCTAAATGTCAGTTATTATTACTTTGGCTGTAATTCAATGATAAAGCCCACTAATTTATTTGCATTCCACTGCATCACTCTTATTTGTTTAGTTTAATACAGTGATCAATCTCTTTTTGACTTTCTAATTTTAAACCAAGAGGCCCACAGGTCATCTGCTGAAGTTTGAATGAAGAGAAAGATCAGGATGAAGAATGTTTAAATCAAGATCGTGCATGCTCTGGATTAAGAAGGTTAAGCAGGATAAGCACCAGTTTTTATCTTGTACAACACATAATATTGAATTGATGTATTAGCATTGTACTGTATGACTGGTATTCTAGTAAACTGGGTATGTAACTACAACCTCAATTGCATAAGCCTGATCTTGACACTTTAGATGGTTTATTCTGGCTTGTTTGCGTTTGCAATTAGTTTTTGATTGCATGTTTTAAATATAAAAACAACAAAATACTAGAAACATCTCCTTGTACATGAAAGAAAGAAAATATGAGACGACCCCGGAGCATCCTGTACGAAAACGTTGAATTATCAACAATATAGCAATATAACCTATAGTTTCAACAACTGTTAAGGAATTTCAAAGACATACAAAAACACGAGTTTATTCATCGCAGAAATTTACTTTAAAGAATATAGTTTTGTTTTCCTTTGAATTATTTACTTGTGCAACACTGAAATAATTATTTTCGTAATAATTCAAGTTTAGGAATAACAGGACGCAAGTTAAATTAAGTTTTTAAGAACCTTCGATAAAAACGCGGAACACTAATAGAAAGTGTTGTTGCTACCCGAACTGAAACCACAATGGCACTGCCTGTGATAGAGCTGTCGAGTTGAAGGAAAAATATGTCTGTTTTGAGAAATATTACAGTATTTATTTTCTTTGTACTGCTGGGCTGTATTTTAATTTAACTAACGGGTACTTCTGAAATAATTATTTATATATAAAAATAAGAAGTGATAATACTGTGGTACATGCAACAGGAGGACCGCGTTAATAAACCAAGTCGACTGTAATCAGTGAGTATGTTGGAATTTTTTGAACTGTTATATATTTGTAGTTTTAATATATTTATATATTTAAAAGGTTTAACTTCAAAATTACAATTTGGTTACAATAAATACTTTACGGTTTAACTTTTCCATCAGCTTTATAAACAAGATATTTTTCTTTGCAAATGTACGTGCAACGTAGCTGTTCCATTTTTATTTTTATGTGAAAGTACAATTAAAACATTTGTATTTGTTGCAGTTTGTAAATAAAGCAAATGTAATTATTTTATATAAAAAATCCACCATGTTCAGATTTGGCATTACTCAAAAAATGAAATTCAGACTGTTCGGATGATTCATGATATGTGATCTCTATGTTCTCCGTTTCTGAGGGAGCCCCAAATATTGAATTGCGTACCAGTCACTGCCAGAGAGCAATATCTTATCACCTGTTGTTAGAGGGATGACAGGGAGCCTAGTATCACTGCTCAGTGCAAATAGCCGAAGGCATTAATCATTTTACATCAGAAAAAGTAACCACAATGCGATTAATTCAAATGCCACGTTATTCAAATTATTTTAGCAAAAAATTAAAGCAGTGAATTAATACTGATGCAAAAATTAGCGACCATTGGAACCTCTGTATAATTGCTGTTTAAATTGCTTATGAATTTATACATTATTCCAGGCACACCCTATTTAATATTTATCTTCAAGCCCCTGATGATTCTTGGTTTGATGTTTTCTCTAAATGTGATCAGAAAAAACTTTGTTCCAAATACATGCGAACTTAAGCGAAAAATGGCTTCAAACTCTGTCCTAATGGAGCTCTGTACGTTTTGTTCTAAAACGACACATTTTGATTTATTGCTTGCATTGCAGAAATGCCCAATCCGAGCACACGTCCTAAGAGGGTGAGGCGGAACCGTCAAGCATCAAGGGGGATCCAAGCTAGGAATGAGCTGGTGTCCAGATCTCTAGAAAGTGCCCAGCAGTGCTTGCAGAACCAGGACTATGGAACTGCTTTCGTCCACTATCTTCTCGTTCTTAACCTGTCTCCTGCACTGAAGGAGTTTGCCAGAGTAAGTTTGAGTGACATTTTTAGCTCAGGGGATCCCATACTCCAGAACACGTTGTGTATTATATCACGTTCCTCTGCTCTCTGGAAGAAGCACCAAGTTTGGACAACCTAATTTTTTTCATTGTTACGGCCTTTCATGTCACTCCTGTACATCTTATGGTCTTGGTGGAGAAAAAATGTTTATCTCCTCATTTCCTAGCTTCACAAGCCGCGTAATCTTTTTTCATATGTACTGGCATGCAATCATAAAGAACTTCTGGAAGTAAAAATGTCCATCTTGTTAATTGGCATCACTACTGGGAGATATTAATATAGTAGTAAACATCACATCGCAGTTTCCACTGGGCAGGTGAGTATCAGGCAGGTGCTCCTGGGATATGCCTCACTGACAGTACAGATGCAATGCGTGCTGTTTTTATGCCTTTTTAACATTTTTGTTATTTTTTCAAACACTATGTGGGATCTCCAGAAGATACCATTTTGTCTTGGTAAAAATAAATATCAGTGCTAGAAACAGTAAATTTAAAGATAAAGATTGAAGCTGGCAATTTGATCTTAAGGCAACAGAAAAGGAAATGTTACAATAATAACACCTGTTTTACTTTGTAATGTTTTGACTGAGACATATTTTACTTCCAGAATATCAAATCATATGTTCTGTGCCCACCACCTCATTGTAATGGTTTAGATGCATGTGCTTGCCACCAGATTTCATTAGAAATAATTATATGTAGTGGTTCTGTGAAAGCAGCTGTGGCCATGACATAATTGTTTCTATTGATGATAACTTATTTGTATTCCGTAAGGTGACAGGTTAGTGTATGCGTCTCCCTGTTTTTGCTGTGCAGTTACAGCTGGTGTACAGTGCAGTTGGGATGGCAACAAGGGCCTAGGAGAGTTAAATAGTACTCCAGATGTGACATAGGTATATATATGTCTATGCATGGGACCGTGGAAACAGTCGGTAAATCACATTTAATGGAAAGAAACAGGTAAAGGTTCATTCCATGCTGAAAGAAAAAAACAACGTTTTGACTGTGGGGCCTTCTTCAGGTGTGTTTCTTTTCTTTACCTTTAATCATGGAATAAACTTTCACCTGTTACCTTGCAGCCTGTGCTGCCCAGGAGGTCTCTCATCCAGGTACTGACCAGGCTCACACCTGCTTAGCTTCAGTGGCTTTCCCGTTGCAGAGTGATATGGCATCTGGCTAACATCAGCTGACATTGCGGTTTTCAAACCAAATTAAAACAGCCTAAATAACTTTTAGTGTGTTTTCATGCAATGTTATCCTTTTTTGTAGGAGTCCTTCAGGTTTACTCTTTTCAAATGGGCAGATGAGTTGGATGCCCTTGGCCGTATCCAGGACTTATTTGACTGCTATGAGCAGGCGATGGAGCTGTTTCCAGCTGATGAAGTCATTGTGAACAGTATGGGAGAACACTTGTTCAGGTACACCTGGAAGTCATGGTCAGCCGCTTTAATTATGTGTTCCAGGAAATAAATCAAATTAATTTCATAATACAAACAGACATATGAAAACATGTACTGTAAATACCTGGCCACAACAGAGCTGTTTGTTGTTAATTAAATTAATTGATTTAGCTGATTCTTTTATCAACAAAACAGTTTGTGTGGTATGGTATCTTGTGGCACTTCAAGACTTTCTGTTACACCACACAAGAGGGTGTTTACATCCATTTGCAGTGCAGTGCCTGAAATATCTGCTGTATCTGAAATAATTAACATCTTTCAAATGTGGCCTGCAGATGAAACGTTGTCTACAAAAGGCAGTGAAAAAAGGCATTCATGAATACTGACAAAGCATGGTGAAACTGTTCTTACAAGTATAAATACAGATAGTTGTTTATTTAAAGATTCCTTTATCCATTTTCTACACTTCCTCTGCCTTCAGAATGGGGTTTAGGGATGAAGCCGCATGCCATTTCCACAAGGCTCTGAAGTTAAGTCCTGATTTTGCTGAGGCCAGGGAGAACTTCTACAGAGTGGCAAACTGGTTAGTGGAGCGCTGGCATTTCCTGATGCTGAATGACCAGAGGAGAAACACTAAGTACCAGCAAGCCATCCAGAAAGCCGTGGCATCTGGGTGCAATACTGTGCTTGATATTGGAACTGGCACTGGTATTCTTAGGTAAGTGTAATCGGTTCTAAATAATTTACAGTGTACAAAATAACTATTTGCAGTTCTCAAGGGTTTCTTTTCAAGAACAAATGAATTATTGTATATTTTATGGCATTCAGAGCTAGGTCATCTATCTTGAAACTATCTCGTATAGAAATATGGGGAGTAAAATTGCAGCTTAAAATTTTTTAGATGATTCTATATTGTGAAAAGGTTTGTGTGTTTATATAGTTATGTTTGTTAAATATAGAAATATTCCATTTTAAAGCTTACTTTACCAGCCTTAAAATTGTGAAAAACATCTTACAAACTGAATACCAATAAAGCAGCTGGATATACATGTTCTTTCTACACATAAATGTGGGTTAACAGTAACAAGAATTTCATGGTATCTGTTTATTGTTTATTGTTGTTTTTAAAAGTGTTCTATTATGATGCAAGTGTTTTTTTGGTAAAAGAAGCATGACAACAAGCAAATCCTGGTTTTGATATGAAAATGACCTCCTGCTTCCCATGTTCTTACAACTTTGTCTTGGCTGATCATATGCTGTAATTCTGTTTCCCAATAGCATGTGTGCTAAGAAAGTAGGGGCAGCACGTGTTTACGCCTGTGAGCTTTCTAAGACCATGTATGAGCTTGCATGTGAGGTTGTATCAGCCAATGGAATGAATGGAGAAATCAAGATTCTACACATGAAATCACTGGATATGGAAGTCCCCAGAGATATCCCAGATAAGTAAGGTTTTTACAAAGCTTATCTCAGCTCACAAAAGAGGATCTACACAAGTGTGCCTTTTGAAGGAGTTTGTTCTGCAGGTCTTGTAAAGGACACATACTGTAGAAGCATGAAGTAGACAGAGGCATAGACTGCAAAGTCATATTTCATGAATTTTTGTCAGGAAGCTACTATATTTCTTTGATATAATGCATGTTTGAGTTTTGATTTCTTAATAAATCATTAACCAATGTACTACAATAACTTTCAGAACAGAAACAAAACATAATGTATCCGAAGCACAACTGGAAGCTGTACAGTCACTCTCAGCATTACATACCGAGCATCAAAATAAGCTTAATACTTTGTCCATATACGTTTTTAGAAGAAAAAAATATACAGATTAATAAAATTGGGGGATACGTTTTGATTAATTGACCATTCACGACTGACCCGGATGTATTTGGGTGACTTTGATAGTTGCATTAGCACTAAATCACTTAATTAGTGAGAGCTGATTGTGCCGACTTAACTTGTTGAATGTCTAGTGTGGTGAAACTCATGCAGCAAAACAATATGTCATGCTTATCGAGAGAACAGCTCCTTCATGCCATTGGTATGTTGGGGGCTGGACTAAATCCCACACACAGTTACTTGCCATCTGGGGTATTCACAGATGGCAAATTGTAACCTAGCAAAAATGTTACAGTCAGCCAGTCTGTCAGTGTTAGGACACAGTGCAGTAGACCATGAGTCATGACACCTCATCAAGATTGAAGTATGACAGTCTGGGCAAGAGTGTCTAGCCACTAAAACTGAAGGCAACTGAACTGCAAGGCACTACATCAATCAAGTCCAGGGTTCATCCTGATTCAAGCAATACAATACACAATACATGCCTTCATACTGTTCATTTAAGAACAGCACGAATGTGATATTTCTGTCATGGACGCACTACGTTACTAAACCTGGAATCCATTTAGTATCTGTGAAAAGAAGTGGATGATGTGAGGTGTCTGGGGATCAAAGACCAGTGAATGGGGATGTGCTTCTCCAGGCAGGGTGAGAGGAATGGGATAGCATACTGCAAGACAGGGATGATAAGCATGCACCAGAGATGCAGAGCTTGCAGTGCCTCCAATAGCGGTCATACGCACTATGACGTTGTGATTTTCACAGCAGACACACCAGTTCAGCAACCTTTTTTATGTTAATCCACATTAGCATAAAACACACAAGATTGTTTTGTCATTTATGACTAGTCCTGTCTTTTCTCACTTGGTTATTATAAAAAATAATTATCCTAATAATTACAAATAAGGAAATAATTATCCTTATAATTACAAATTCATAAGGGTGTTGATAATTTTCATTTGTTGTTCATCATTGTTTTTTAATCAAAACTGCTTTTACCATGTGGCATTTGACTGAAAATGTGAATTTACTCTTAGATAAGCATCCCTTTAATTCTTATACTTTATTAAAGAAGGATTAATTTGCAAGCCGGTTTAGAAAAGCAAATGGAAAGCCTGCCACATGTTTGTGCATAGCGTTAAGACTAAGGTTATGTTTTTATCTTTATTTTGGCAGGGTTTCACTTGTGGTGACAGAAACTGTGGACGCAGGGCTCTTTGGTGAAGGCATCGTAGAAAGCCTGATTCATGCTTGGAAGCACTTACTCTTGCCCCCTCAAGTAAGGACACTCAGAACACATTTGAGCTCCCACAAATTTCAGTTTCACAGATGTAAATTTCCAGTTGTTTCGTCTAGAATCCCCAGGTGTGCACAGTCACAGAAAGCTAACGTAACCTTAAGAGTTGTTAAACTACTCTTGCATTTAGAGAGAAAGTGCTATGAAATGTACATAAATATAAGTAGCTGCTCAAGTTCTTATGTGATTTATTGTGGTTCTAAATGTTTTTATGCAGTGTTTGTGTAAAAGTGTCTTAAGAAATGAGAGTGTGCAATGCAATGAGAGTGCAGTGCTTTTTTTTAGCTATTAGCACTCATTTAAATTTTACTGCTAAATTACCCTTCTAAATATAACATATTTTAAACTATGAGAATGATAATGATTAAAATATAATTATTTGTTATCCATTCTTCCTTTACTTTCCATATTATTAAGGTTTTTTCAGAAAGGAATGTGAAAGTTGTTAACTATTATTCTATAATAAACCTTTCCCAGCACTGACATCTAGTGCTTAAGATTATTATGACCATTTTTAAGGAACTATTGATAGGCCTTAAAATAGTGAATATGATTTTTTTTTACCTGGATTAAAAACTGAAAAGTAAATAAAATTGAAAACAAAAGAAGTGACTGATAACTGAGTGCATTTGTATAATAGAGGAATTTATTCAGTCATGACCTTACCACTATCCCAAACCTTTAATAACACCAGTCTCAACCTAAAGCCTTGCCTTAATCGTTACACTTATTTCTAACTTAGCCTTAACACAAACTTAAGACTTATCCTTATTTCCAAGCAGAACCTGTCCTAACCTATCTCTAATCCTAGCCATTACTCTTGAGTTTTAATTCAATCCAGCCAATCAGAATTGCTCCAGCCATGTTTCTCCTGATGTGCTGTTGCAGTATGGTGTTTCTGTTGTTTGCCAGGGTTCGCAAGGCCCATGTAGTACACCTACACGAACAGGACGAGTCATCCCTGCTGGTGCCACAGTGTTTGGCATGGCGGTTCAGTGCTCCGAGATACGCAGGCATCACAGGTAACTCCTGCCTATCGAGATCACTGCAGTGTGTCACTGATAAGGCTTGTAGCTATTCACTGTAAAGTGATCTGTGTTATCTGTGTAATAATGCTGAAAGCTGAGTGTATGTACTGTTTTAGATTCCTTCTTTTTCCTCTTCCGTCAATTTCTTGACTGAACAATCAAAGCAGCTTTTCCACCACAGCACAGGAATTTGGTTTTATCTAGGCCAAGCAACTTCAATGGCGCACATATACAGTAAGTAGGGTGAGGACATTTTTAAATAAAAAGGCTATGCAGTCTAGACTCTCTTCAAAGAGACCCCTGGCACGCGTCATAACATTGCTGTTGACATAACCACTGTGATGTCCCATGTACAGGGTGTGTGTCCCCTCAGTGGGAGGGCTGTGTTTGTCGAGAGCAGGGGAGTTCCACAGCCCGGTCAGCTACTCCCAGGGCACTGCTGACTCGACAGAGCCCTACACCACTGAGCGGCTGAGCCAGGTTCCAGGTGGATACACCGCTCTCACTCAGCCCTTCCAGGCCCTTACTGTCGATTTCAACAACCTGCAGGTGCTGTACACTTCTCATCAGGGTTTAAATTTTGTATTATAACGCTTATCATAGAAGAATGTTGTCTTCAGAATTGCCAAGGACTTGCAGTATCTAATACATTTTTCCCCTTTAATCCTTTGCACATGGTTATGATTATATGTATCAGGCATTTTCATAAAGTTGTGATTCTGTCCTTTTTTGCCAGAATAAGAAATGCATCAAGCATTCTAGATGCTACGAACTGAAACTTTAAAGATGATTATTGTTTTACGCTGGGTTGTTGAACGTCTACTCTAACCTGATTTGTATGTTTGCACTGTATTCATTGTTGAATGTGAAAAGCTTTTAATTATATTGACCAAAGAACATACTGAAAAAAATACCAACCATAAGTATTACACGGGCTAGTTATTAGATTGTATTGTAATTCTGTCTGTTGTTGTAGATACTACAGTAAATTACAAACGGCTCTGTTTAGAGTTGTCATCACCAAAAAAAACCATGATGGCTCTCCACCTGTCTCGTCTGGCACTTGATTTTGGGAGTCTTAATTCTCATACCTACTTGGAAAGTGTTTTCTCACCTTCAGATTAGCTAGCCGTGGAAAGTAATCCTGCAAGAAACACTGAGCTACTCATGTTGTACCATTTTTAGTAAATCCCTAAATCTAGGTGAATGAATTTATTTACATCTTCAATAAAAATAGTGCAGTTTTTTTTTTGTGGGAAGCACTGTGCATTGTATGTAACCCAACTGAAAAAGGTATGCTTTTCCTAGTGTAATTGGGTATGGCCATCCGCTCAGAGTCAGGACTTTCTTGTTATTGTGTGTTTGTTTCTTTTAGGAACTGGAGGGCCTCTGTTCTCAAAAGGCATCTCAGGTCAGCGTGGCTGTTGTCCAGGAAGGTGTGTTAGACGCCATTGCTCTGTGGTTTGAACTGCATCTAGATGAGGAAAACAGTCTTTCCACAGGGCCGGAGGAAGAGACGTGTTGGGAGCAGGCCATCTACCCAGTACAGAATCTCCGCAGTAAGTGTCCAGGGGCAGATCGTTCAGATCTTTATTTTCTAGACTTCTTTTGCAGATAATTTGTCTTGTTGCTGGAGGATCCTTGTTGATCATGCAAATGATGTAGAAAAAAAGAATTCAGCTTTTTTTTATTAAAACTGCTAACCAGGTATTTAGATTTACGAAAGCACTTTAATTTTTCTGCTGAAATGTCAGGCTAAAAGTGAAGTATTGATTGTTAATATAGACGATTTGCCTACTGCAAATGTTCTGGTAAAAGGTGAGCTTAACAATGGCTTGACTTAAAGTGCTAATGACCGTGATGACCTGGGTTTATCCTTTACATTTATGATGTGTATAAAGATGCAAAATGTTGCCATGAAGGGGTAATTTTGGGTACTTAATGTCCTAGAATTATCCATGATATTCTCAGCCCGTCCCTAGCTGGCATTGAATTTCCATCACACAGGCATACGCCAACCCAGGACCTTCTCCAGCAGTAGTTAATCCTGCCATGCCATAAGGCTGACACTTGGTCATTAGAGCATTTAACACTAGTGAGTGCCCCAAGAGTTTACGTCACCATAAGAGGCTCCAGGCTCCCACCTAATGAGCCCTCTTACACTCTTCTGCTCTAAATGATCTGAATCATGGCACCACTGTGGCATAAGCTGCTTATCCCCAACCAGGATTCAGTTACTGTCTTTCCCAGGAAAACAGAGGTGAATTTCACTGTGTCAAGAGTCAGTGCCATTGGGTATCCTGGGGCATTGTATCATTATAACTGGCTCGTACTGAATGAGTCCTGTTATATGCAAAGAGCTGGAGCACTGGGAGATGATTCATGATTCCATGGGTTGGAATATGTTTGCTTGTTCATGGGTTAATGCGTACAGTTCAGCTTGCACTAATTGACAAGGGCACTGGAATATACTCTCCTCGGACTGCGGAGGGGAAGGCTTTGGTGCAGCATCGTTTTCAGACCACCAGAATGTGCATTTTGTTCATCTGCAATGCTGTATTATGAGTTTATTGTATTGATATACTGTATATTTATTTATTTTTTCAAATGCATTCAATAGCAGTGTATGAAGACATAAGCAGATGTAAATTACAAAGACAACCTTTGTCCTACCATGTTTGAATTATGTGATGTACCGTTTTGGTGGTAAACATCAGCAGTTTACTACTTCAGACATAAACTGAAGAATAGGGCATTTATTTCAATCAAGGTTCTAAAATATTGCCCCATTAATTGCATCCTTAATTAAGATAAGATACTTAAACACCATATGAATTGAACAGAAGTAGATTTAATTCTAAATAAAATCTAAATAGATTTTTAAATTATTTTTGTTGGAGTTGATTTTATACTATATTTAAAACTGGTCTATTTTTGATAGAGATAATTATATTTTTGAGTTAATAATTAAATGTATTGTTAACTTCTTAACATATACAGTATATATAATATATATAAATAAAAATACGGGGGTTAGTTGGGGTAATTTGTGTTTATACCCTGATGAATTAGTTATTTATAATGTTTTTCTCTTTCTTTGAATGTTAGAAATTTAAGGATGATTATGTAACATCTAGGCAGATGCCCTGATGAAAGCTTTTGGATGCTGAATTGTTGATAAATATTATTGGAGGAGAAAGAGTGTGCCTCCAGCTAATCTTATTACTTTTACATCTTTACAAAATTCTACGATAAAACTACTTTAGGCAGACTAGAATAATGTAACAAAATATTTAAAAAATGTAAACAGACATTCATATGCTTTTGTATAAAGATTTCTGCTCTTGACATTCCTAAAGCTGAAATTCTCTTTACCACATTGCCTAAGGTGGTTAGCATAGAAACTCTGTATCTTTTTTTGAAGTGTGAATTAACTGAATTGTTTTGAATGCAGATTGCAGTGTTAAGCCTGGAGATACCCTGATGCTGGACGTGTTGTGCCAGGATGTGTATTTAAGGATCTGCAATGTGATTGTGGTGAGAGCAGAGGACCATACCCAGGCACATCGGGCAAGTGAAGAACCGGGGACCAGCTCATTCTCAGCTGCAGAAGCAGAGCTCTGCTGTGCTTTAGCTTCCCTTCAAACCAGCCAGGGAAGTGCTCAACAGACATGCATGCTGGAGTGCTCTGAAATGGCCCTGCTGAACAATTTACAGTTCCATGACAGTTTTAAGAGGGCATTATGCAAACTGCTTTCAGCTCTGAGAGCAGGCAGTAAATCTGACAAATTACGTTTCGCGGATTCCACAAGCAATACCGACCATGGGAAAAGTTTTCATCAAGAAAATCCAAATTCTGAACCTGACCCCTTGTACGTGTTGGACGTCTCTGAGGGATTCTCGGTTCTGTCCCTGATTGCGGCGAAGCTGGGGTCAGTGAAGGCCTACAGCTCTGTGGAGAAGGAGACGCACCAAATGGTGCTGAAGCTTTTGGCAGAAGCAAACGGGATGTGTGAGGATTCGCTCGAGTTTTGGCTCGGTCACATTCAGGACGACTCGGTTGTTCTACAGCGGCCCTCGACAGGAAAGCTCTGGAGCGCGATCATCCTGGACTGTATCGAGACCTGTGGGCTGGTTCGCCAGGAGCTCATGGAGAAAGCAGCATTAGCCAGGTCTGTTAGAATGTGCTCATATGCGGGAAGTAGCAATACATGTTTTTTTATTTAAACACTTTAGTAGGACATAAAAGCAGTCAAAACACAGAAAATGCTTAAAATTGCTCTTCTTCAATACAACGTCCACTTTAGTCAGTAAATATTGATTTATTGTCCAAAACTAAATGAGTTAATTCATGCACAATCTGTCTCGATATACATATTTCACACAACAGAAGTCATGCTTAACGGTTTTTCTTAACAGTGTAATGTGTTACATGCTACCTAAACCATTAGGGTGAAAAAGTATCCCCCATTCTCAGTTTTCAAAGCATTTCTCCATACTTTCTACTTATGTTCTATGGTTTCTGTTTCATTGTTGATGATGGAGAAAACGATTGTGTTGACTTCTTTAACTGCAGTGATGGTCACTAGAAAGTATTTTCCCACTTTTAATTCATATCTACTTTCCTTTTATTGTTTTCTTTTTATATTTACTTTTGCTTTTCCGAGACCACTTTGGAAGGCAAAGGTATTCAATGTCTCCATGTTCTGTAGGTGTCTCCTTGAAGAAGGTGGGCGAATATTTCCAGAGCGCATTGTGATGTATGGGATGCTGGTTGAATCTGACACCTTGCTTTTAGAAAGTGCTGTTCAGGGCACAGAACCAACTCTTGGATTCAAAATTGCGCCATTTATAAACCAGTTCACGGTACGTGTTTTTACCTTTCTGTGGCCTTCAGGAGTGTGTGTTATTTAATGATGTGTTATGAAAGTTGCTATATAAATCTTATTTATATCAATTGACAAATGTATTAATGAGAATAAGAAAAATGTGCTGTTTTTTATTAGCATGCATCAAAATACTGATTTCTAATATACTGTCGTTACATTTGTTGTCAAACAGGCTTTTCTTTTTGATATAATTTTGGGGATAATTACCAATCCAACTGGAAAAAGCATCTCCTTTGAAATAACTTAATGAAATTATATTTTTAGTTTTTCTGTATGCTTAAGTAAGCAGGTAGACCATAATTAATTGATCATTCATGACTGGACATGATTGACTATTCCATACATACTGAATCACCTCATTAGTGAGAGTTGATAAATCACAGGTGGAGAGCTGGTTTTACCCGTTGAATGTTAAGTCTGGTACAAATAAAGAAAAGCACAGAAAATAACCAATATGCCATGCCACACCTATCAAGAAAAGCCTGTGTGGCATCAGTAAGTTGGAGGCTAGTCTATATCCACATACTCTAACTCATTGTCTAGCACTGGCAACATGTAGCAGCCAAACGGAATTCGTCATTGACAGGTGACGATCTGCGAGACGGTGAGTCATGACACCATGCAAAGATCAATCCAAGTGTGATCATCTGGCCGGGAGTGCCAAATCCTTACACAACTTTGCTTGCACTGATTGATGGCAGCCTGACTGCATGGTGATTCAATGTTTAGGTCTGGCATCTTTACATTATTCCTTTCCTGTGGGCTTGTCTTGACATGACCGTGTACATCAGGGCGATACATTCACTTGTGTTGTTTCATATAACAAGCTGACACATTTGTCCCCGATAATGACACCCCATGTCATGTCTCTTCAATGATGTAAGTGCAGGTGCTACAAAATGATTGTCATTTCTCATAGAACTTTGGGAATTTGATGCAGTTGTAAGTGATAGGTACAGTACCATTTGATCTGAACAGTAGGCCAGCTTCATTAATACATGACTGCTTAAAACAAGGCCTTGTCCTGGGTGCTTAGAGATTCCTGTGATGTATGTGTTGTTTTTCCAGGTGCCTGTTCACGTGTTTTTGGATTTGTCAGCTCTCCCTTGTAAACATCTGAGCCAGACTGTAGAGCTTTTTACTCTGGATCTCATGAACTCCGATGTCAATTACACACATCAAGAGGTTAAGGTAAGAGTTAGCATTTAAGGAATATGCAAATGATGTCAGGGGGCTACACTGTAGTGTGGCCACCTGTCACGCACCATTCTGAAGCTGGTGACTGATATTCCATGTCCTGTTCGTCAGTGTTCGTTTGCAAAAAAGTGGAAGTTTGGTATCATATTATTAGCTTAGGTTTGGGACTCTGTATCCAACAAAAACTGTTGCTACTTTATATTGCATGTTTTAATATATCAAGTACTGTGAATCGTATTCTCTTTTTAACTTATTGAAAAACCCTAGGTGAGTTTTGGTATTATCCAGGGATGAGGTCCCCAATCACTCTGCTTTGTTAAAGTATCCTGAAAGCACACTTTGCTAACTGCTTTGTAAGCTTTTCCCCAAAAGAGTACCCTATTCCTAAGCCATTATGTTTCCTTTTACTCTAAATGGCTCCTCCACTGCAATATTACAATAATTGAATATAATTTTAGTGATAAATATTTTCCAGAGAAGTATATGAAAATAGAATGTGGTCTGTTGATTAATGGTAATTACACAATGTGCAAGCAAACTTGAGATACAAGAAAATGTCAGTTAGTCACCAACTTGTGAGATTGCCCAAGGCTGTGTAATCTTTAAGCACAAATCCTTTTCTGTGAATGTCTATCTAGATAAGGACACTTTTGTAAGATCTCATTAAAAACGTTGTTCTTTAAAATAAAGTTCCACTTATACTTTGGAGTTCACAATGGAAGGGCAGAAGAAGGATAACTTCAGCAGTCACCACTCAGGCTTTAAAGAGTATAGGTAGAGGCCTTTGGCTCATGATTTCCCAGCATTCAGTACACTAACATCCCCCATCCATCTGAAGACCTACTCGAGAGCTTATTCTAGGGTGGTTCCAATGTCCTCATCAGTACTAGTCGTTGCTCAAACAAACTGGGCTAAAGAAATCATATTATTTCTTTAGCGCTTTACTGGGGTTTTGTATCTTTTGAATTTAGTTTATAACAATACTTCACGTGTTTATATATGCCACAGGTGCAGGTGTGCTCCTCGGGCAGAGTGACCGCAATCCCATTCTGGTATCAGGTTTACCTGGATGATGAGATCAGCTTGAGTACCTACAGTGAGAACTCCCATTGGAAACAGGCCGCTGTGATTCTCCATCAGCCAATAGAGGTGTGCACTGGGGACCATCTTACACTCAAAATTGAGTACCACAAGAACAGTATCTCCATCAGTGCTCACAGAGGGGAAGAACATACCGCCACAGAATCTGCCTCTGCCATCTGACTAAATTGATATTTTTCTTTTAAACTGTCCCTTAAACAAATAGTTTGTCAGATGATCAATCTGGCTACTTTTGGCTACTTTGTCCATCCCCAGTTTAGAAGCTGGTAATTTTCCTAAATTGTATAGCATTTTTTTAAATAAAAGCAATTGTGAAAAAACTGCACTTGAACAATTAATTGCTTTCGCTGTGGTAAATGATCAAGTGATCAGAGAACCTAATGTTTGTCAACTCTGTGTAATACAAAAAGTGACTTTTACTGCATCTGCTGGTGTGGAGGCTGCAAAGGAGTCAAAAAAATAATGGGCTGTGTATAATTACATTGTTGTGTAGTCACAACTTTAGGGACAGCAGTACCTGGTGTTACGTCAAAGATTTTGTACAGAACACTCTGACCATGTGGTCAGGAAAATATGAATAGTATGATGGAGTAATATACATAAACAAGTTTTAGTATTCTCCTATATTTCTGGAATGAGCTCCTTACTTAGCAAATTTGACTTTATTTGATAATGACTGCCTAACACTGGTATTTTGTCATATGTGTGTAAACAAGTAATAATATGAGAGAGAGAAGAGGATTCTTCCAACAGTTGACAGTGAAAAGTTATTCAAATACAGCTGCAACAGTGTGTTCAATAGTGAGCACAAAACTCACAACTGCAGTTGGAGCAGAAACATCCGGAACTGGACCTTGCTAAAAGAACAAAAAAACTATACCATTTAAAACAAGTTTTAGAAGAATGCAAATGAATATTCAGACTGTTTATTCAGTAAAATATTTTATGGAATATTTACACCAAAGGCCATTAGATCATTATGGTATCCAGACTTGTCATACAGGACCTTTATGCTACAGTCACAACACTGTACACTGAAAGACATCTGTCCAAGTGACACTTTGCATTCTGCAGTTTAATGAGCTGTGGTGTACAGCATGTAAGGCAAAACAGCACAGTTGCACAACCACTGCTGAAGCTCTTGTGTTGTACAGTGACATACATCCCCTTTATACAGGCATTGATATACAAGATACCTGTACGCTAAATTGAATTATATAGCTTCAATGTCAACCAAGCTAAACCAAGTTTTACAATGAAAGCAACAATGGTATTTTTTGCATCTGTGCAAAACTAAATATTTTCAGTAGGTCTCATACCTGCAAATTTGTTAAGATACAGGTTTTTACTATATCTATTATACAGTATTAGTCATATCTTTGTATTACAGTCTGGTGGTTTAACTCTTTTATGCTATGCCATACTCAAATGAACTTGAGTATCATTTTCTGTTTCTTCACTAATGGTGATTTGCAGTTAAATATATATTTAATTTCACAGAATGTGTGGTTTCAACAGGCCCTAAGTTAAGAGCACCCCTTTAGTTTGGTTTGTAATCTGTATTCTTTATCAAGCTGATTTAATAGGTGTTCTGTGTCTGCCAGTATTGGCAGATCACAATACTGACTCCAGGGACCAGCAGGCAAGCTTGTAAAAATCATGAAGAAACCTCTTTGTCTGGCCCATAAATCAAAGATAAGGGTATCAAGAAAAAAATCCTTTAAGTATGAAAATAAAAGTTTAACTAAACAAAAGTAATGAAAGCAAAGGGGTCACAAGTCGGAACATTAGTGCTGTTAAATCACACTTTGGATTATGAAGTTTTAAGATGTACTATTAACAGCTGTAAACAGTATTAATAACTAATATTTGGCATAGTCTCCTCTTAAGGAAGCAGCAATACAAATCTGTCATATTTTAGTGTCATTTTCCAATTTATACCCCTAACAGAATGAAAACCTAAAGGAAGAGTAAGGTTCTATAAATTCCAGCACTACTCATGTAAGGTCTGTCAGTTTTGTTTAGATTTAGTTTGGTTATGGGAATGCTTCTGTGATGGAACCTGTTGCATATAAGAATCAGTACTGACACTTTAAACTGGCTGCACAAGGCCTCTTCAACCTGAGCTGTAACTGAACCGAGGTCAGTGATATACAATGTGACCAGCCCTGTATGGCCAGAGCCATTCACTGTTTGGTTAACACTACACATAGGAATGTGGTTTTAATGGTATTTAAGGGCAGTTTAATATTGTCAAAAGTATCTAGCTCAGTCACTTCTTTCAAATTCATATTCTTCCCCTATGCTAAACAAAAGAGCTTTTTTCTGCTTTCTTATAAAAAAAGGCTGGCCTCGCAGATGCTGTTACCAAATCAAATTCTGAAATGTGTGAAGTGATCCTTTGACTACAGTTGCAAAGTCCTCACATTATGAAGCAACAATTTAATAACTGGGCTAATTTAACAGTTAAAACAGCAGATCAATTAAACCAAAGAAAGCAAGACCAATAGAAGCTTCAGGTCCTGCTTAGATATGCAATTTAAACACCACTAGTAACAATTTTAACATTCACAATGCAGAGGCCAACATCTTATGATGACATCAGTTGCTGAGCGCTTCATCGGGAATATCTACACTAACACTACTATACAAAAAACAAAACCATGTGCTTTTTTTCCTTTTGATTTTGGTCATATGGCGATGTTGGAAAATCAACTTCCATGTTAATTCCCATGTTTACAAATGGGTAAAGCATACCGGCATACCTCGCTTCTGTGCAAAACCTTTTACTTTTAGTTGTATTTTTAAGAAGGGATATATTGTTGCAGAAATGGAACTGTGCGGTTAATCTGGATTCGGAAGTACTTTTGTATCCTGAGCCAGGGAGTTGGGGAAGTCCTCGTCCCCCACCTGTGTGGCAGAGCTGAGTCCTGCGGGCGCAGATAAGGAGTGGGGTGTCACTGTGGTCTGTCCAAACCCCTGATAGCGGCCTGTGGGTGATGGTGGCATGGAGGAGGTATCCATGACTGCCTCCTGTGTTCCTCCAGCAAGGAGACTGGTATGCTCATTGTGCTCCTGTTCTTCCCCAAAGTACATCTTTCTTGGACGGCCTAGAACAGTTCTCCCTAGAGAATTAAAACAAATGTTGACAAGAAGTTATTTTTTTGAATGCAACAGGAATGTTAGCAAAAAAAAAGTCTTCTTTTTCAGACCTGTGTGAATGGGGATGGAGGATCACAACAGCATTAAGGAATTTAACGGGTTGCAGTGCACAAGGAAGTGCAATAAATCAAGTGTCTGCACTTGATTTGCATGATAGTAACTTGATGCAAAGAAGTTACAAGTTTGTTTCATTCCCTTGTTTATCTGTACATCACAGCACACATTAAGAATGTAATAAGACTTTGGAAAACTGGTCAGTGGTTTTAAGAAAAATAAACAGTAATCAAACTTCAGCACTTGATGTTCTACGAAAAGTGCATCAGAAAGCATCCTTCTGGAGGAAAGGGGTAGACTGGCCCTGTACATTATCTTCTGTGTATAATTATTTAAAATAAAAACCTTGCAATTAACAAGAAGCTTATACCTGAAAGTAACATTTGCATTTAATAAGCTTCTTAAGAATATAGTTCACCTTAAGAGAATAATAATCCAACACAAGTAATGAACAAAGACTAATGGTATCACCATTTTCTGTATATGTGCGAGACCTCTGACTAACGTAAAAAACCTAACTCTTAGGACAAATACCACATTTTAGTCCTGGGGCGCAAAATAGTATGTGATACTACACATAACTCCTAATGTGCTTTGTGGAGTCGGGCGTCTTAAACTCAGGGTGTAAAAAATGAGCTCACCAACGTTCCGCACTTGTTCCGATATGTCAGCTCTGATGTCCGAGATGTCCCACATGGCAAGGAAGGAGTCAAAGCATGAGCCCTCCTCAGCCTCTTGGATGTAAGGCTTGTAAGTGAAGCTGTAGTGGTGAGCAATTGCAGCGAGAAACATCTCCACACAGATGATGAAGTCCTGAAAGCCAGATTTCATTCAATTCAATGAGTGGTATAGCCCTTGTTACAGTAAGTTGAACATCTGACTAGCCTGATCTGCATTTATGCAGAGTGTTCCAAAACCACTGATAAAAAGGCAAAGAGGACCATAAATAACAATGCAAGCCATTTACATTGAACATTTATGACAAAGTTAACTTTTTGCAATCCTCAGTGAACCTAAATTATCCTCTGTTCCACAAAAAACACTTTTAAATGAATTCCTCTATACTTAAAAGTTAAAACATTTCTTGCCGTATAAGGTAGATTTATAATGGAAAATAGCATATGCTCCAAAAATTAAGAAGGAAATAAAGAAAGAGTTTCCTTCATATACCACTTGGCATGTCAAACTTTAGGTCTATAACCAGAAGAAAAGAAGGTAGGTTTTTTCCCTTTAGCCTTAGTTGTTGGTAACCAAAATGCACAAGAAAAGACAATAAATCTTACCTGTAAACCTGTGGCCACAGCTTCCACACTGTCCCAGTCCCAAGTGTGAGAATCAGAAATGACCCCTACTTTAACCAGAAAAGCGATGAACACTGCTTGCCTTAAAGAGAGTAAGGACACTTGTAACTAGCTTATAATATGCCTGCCGCATGTAAACAAAAACTTGAAAATACAGTGTTGCATAACATTAACACATACTGTACAATCCAAAAGGAAAGTAATTAGTTGGCATTTATGAAAAGCACAATCTTAAGAATATTAGAAAAGAAAATCTACTTTTCTGGTTTTAGCCACATGCACTTCTCATATTCTTTTAACACTGATGGACTATAGCCAAAGAGAAAGCATTAGCTATGTTTGTTTAGCATTTACTACCGAACATTGGGTTTATCCCATGAACACTTGTTAGAGGTATGCCACAAAAAACTAAATACTAAGGTAGTTATTGCTTATTGCTTTTGACAAAGCTGGATTCTCCTATCACCTACAGAGGTATGTGAGAAATGAAAGCATATGGATTATAAGTTCAAAATTACAGATACCAACAACTATTTTAAGTTTCCCATCACCATGACTGTCATATCACTGATAAGTTAATAGACTTGTCAACTGACAACCATGAAACATTGTTTCATACAGACAATTATTTCAATGACAGAACAGAATGCTGGTATGCTGGAATCTGAATGCACAAAGATCCATACTGCTGCAATACTGAATCCCTTATAATGCCATGGTGGGGGTAGTGCAGGTTTGATGCCATTCATCACATATTTCTATTCAATTGAGAAACAAACTCTAACATATTATACTGTCACATTTTCTTAGTGTGTAAAGTCTAATGTAAAGATTACTTGAATATCCCTTACAAAAGCCGAGTAGTATATGACATGATTGGAAATATACATCTGTAGCCTACCAGAATGACACAAACACAACCAGTTTCACACAAAGGAATTTCCCAACAGGGCGGATTGGGTTGAGCTCCTCTCTCAAAGCCTTATAGAACAGCACAAGGCAATACATGGCAAACTGGAAGTAAAAAGAAGAGTTTCAGCATCACTTATTCTGTTTTCCACTGATTTACTAAAATCCTCTCTTAACTAAATTACAGAAAATACATTTTCAATACACTCTCGAAACAAGTCAAGCATGGATTCTGACTTGTATGAAATAAGAATGTGGGTTGGTGTCATGTTTAAAATAACAATGAAATAAAACAGCAAAACAAATTACAACCCAACACTATGTTTCAATGTGTTGTTCAACATCTGGATTAAATTCATATTTAGAACATCTCTGGAGAACTTTTATACTGTAACAAAGGAGACACCAATCCGAGGAGAACATCTCTTCCCTAAAATTCAATATACTTATCTGCTCACTATGTACGGACGCAGAATTTATATCTGTTAATAAAATTAGATTATATGAAAGCATAATATGTCTTCTGTTTATTTATTGATTAATTGATTTCCAAAAAATCATCTGCAACTTGAACCTACAAATCCTCACATAAATTTATTTTACAATAATTGTAAAACTACTGCTCCTACGGTTATGTTTTGACCTAGAACATCTCAGTTTCATGGAATCAAAACAGACAATTGTAACCATTGGTGTGAAAAATCTAGATTCTCAAGAGACAGTCACTGTACCAGTTGTGAGACGTTGTTGACGATCACCAGGAAGGTCCATGCATTTTTTGAGCTGAAGTTTCCTTCATCATACACACCACACAGCTGACAAATTCTTTGAAAAGCAAAATAAAACACAAATGTAATTTTTCTATTTAAAAGTAGAAAATAGGTCTTGTACTATAAGTAATACTTGCTGAGAGGAATCACTGTCTTTAAATAGCTTCATCAGTTTTGTCCTATATAAGCAGTTACCTTTGCTTAACTGAGAAACTGGTTAAAATACAGAAAAATGGCAATGATTAAAATGTTTAGTAACTTAACTAAATTCCTCAAGAACTAAACATTCTTATTTCAATTTTATAAACCCGATCAACATGATAACTCAAAATAAAGTAACGTGGAATATTTTACTTACAATGCTATAATTGTGGTAAAAGGTCTCACCACTGTGTACTGTAAAACCCCCAGCTTGCACCTAAATAACAGAACCCTGCAGGAAAAGCAAAACAGAAGTGATGCATCTATAAAAAGGAAAGCACAATGAAGACGTGAAAAGATACAGTAAGAAAGGTTTATTCCATGCTGAAATTAGAAGGAAAGAAACACGATGTTTCGGCTGTGGAGTCTTCATCAGGTGCATCTATTTGATTGGGGATCCCACATACGGTATCATGGCCAGCAAATGCAGTATGCAGTTTGCTTAAGCACCAAAAATGGTGATGAAATCATGAAAACACTGCTCGGTGTTTCAACTGTCACTCATCAACTAAAGCAGACTGAAAGATGCACAATGTTCGATTGCTTAAGATAATATCAGAAGCATCTTCACTTCATTCTCTGGCAGTTTTTCAAATCTCTAGATTTAAAGGTCTATTGATTATTAAATTATTTTTTCTGAATCTGGCAGCAAATGTTATCCAAGACAAGATAAAAAGTACTACAATTTACAAATCTATGTAATTTGCTGTCATTAACTATTCAGACAGACTTATAGCTGGAAAACTGGAAACTGTCCATAGTCTGCAGAACCATAAAGCATTTCCTAGGTCTACAGGAACATCTAGCATCTATAAAAACATTACTGTAATAACCATCTTTATATTTCATGAAAATTCACCCTTCTAACTGTATAAGTACTTTAAGACTTTTAACCAGTTAGAGAAATAACAGATACTCACTCTCCCATAGGCCAGGGTGGACAGCAACATAATGGAGGTAGATGTCTTTGCTGCTCTTTGACTTCCAGCATCAGCACAAGACTAGGATACTGGTTGCTCAGGTAGTTCAGCAGAAAAATCATGAAGTTATAAATGACATATGCTTCATAACATTCTCTGCATGTGTCAACGTAGATTGCAATGCTAGGGTACTTCAAAGCAATCCACTAAAGGAACAAAAAAAGAATAATTAAATTATATTTCAGCATGTCAATATATGTATTATAAGGGTTGCATTTGTATATATTAATGTACACAATACATACAGTAGCAATAACTAGTCCATAAAACACTATTCAACCTCCTAAAACAACATTTAACTGTCCTTCTGAGGAGAATATATTGATTGAGAATATTTCCAAATAATAGGAGGCCAATGGACCCATCTACATTGTTTGGTAATAAGTAGTTAATTGAACCAAGGATCTCATCCAGGTGATTCTTGAAAGAAAACAGGGTTAAAGGGTTCCAACATGGATAGGTAGCTTCTTCTATACCGCCCATACTCTTTGGTTTAAGAAGTGCCTCCTGTTTTCAGTTTTAAATGCAGATCCACATAACTTATTTAAATCATCCACACTTAGGTACGCATTTGTGGGTCACTTTAGAAAATCTGTTCAATTTAAATGTACGGCTATAAACAATGCAAAACCTCTCAAAGAATTATTTGTATGTCTTGAACAGCTTCAAACTATATCTGTTTCCAAGGTTTACAGCTTCTTCAACTGTGTTCTGAATGCAAGACGCCTGTTCTGCCTCATCCCATACTGCACATTAGCCAGACAGACATATAGGTAGTGGACAAAAAATGGGGATATCAATGTAAATATGCTTAATGAGCAAGTACAGACTGTAAACACAATGGCACAGAGCATGTCTAGCATTTGGTAGGAGCAATACAACACCATTTTTCTATAAGAAAGTCAATTAATTCATGCCTGGTTGAGGGAGATTGAAAATGCCATCTCAATTATCTTTCAGGAATATTCCATAAATGTTCAACTGAGTTCAGGTCGGTGACTGAGAAGGCCATGACATGTGGATCACATCATTGTCATCAAACCACTGGGAGATCACACGTGCTCTGTGCATTGTCATCCTGGAAGATTCCCCTACTAGCAGGAAAGCAAGGCTGAAACATTGGGTGAAAATAATCCTTCGGTACTAGTATATAGAGATTAGCATGTAACTTGCACTCTTAAAGAAAAAAGTGCACCCAAACCATGCCAGGAAAATGCACCCACTACATTAACAGAGCCACTGGAACCAAGCACTTGCAGTCAACTAATCTGCAATCGCCTGCCTGTTTTGTCTTGCACTTCAAATCACAATATCATAACCTTGGAGTGTGTGCTTGCCGCACACTATTGCTGATTATCTCTCCCTTGAATTTCTTTGCTGACATCAACTTTGACACCATTGCCTTTGAAACATCATCCAGTCATCACTGACGCTGCTAAAAAAAAGCACCCCAACAATCACCCCTCTTTCAAAATCTGAAGTCTGCTCTTGCAGCCTTATCAGCCATGAATACATGCAACCATGTCTGTTCGTCATTTGTATAATCCACTCTACACCGTTGGGATGATATTTGCTTAATTAATGTATGAAACGCATGTGGAAGCCTTTGCTTTCAGTATACTTGTTGCCCTCATTTACACAAATATTTCCTTTTCCTTTGCACTACCTGTAAATGGGACAGACACACTGTTTTCAATTTCCTAACCTAAATATAAACTATATTAGCCATGAGACATAAATTGTGTGAGTGTTCAGATGAGAAATCTGTGAATTAAAAATGCATTGCACAGTCAGAGTTAATGCAGATACTCAGAATATTGAAATACAATATTATAATACATGAACTATACATTCACCTTACACAGCTGAACAATGAATCACAAAAACCTTTAATGTCTGTACCGTATGACATAAAAGGAATTTGTTTAAGACCTTTACCAGTACTTACACTGTCTAAGCTGTATATTGGCACCATCCATAATATCCTGATGAGAAAAAGCAAAATACAAAGACTTAAAATCATAATGAATGTTTTTAAAACAATGCAAATGTCTGCTTTACTAATATACCCTGGTAATGAAATCTTGGTATTATCTATATGGTCTTAACATGACCAGGCAGAATAAACATGCTGCATTTACACTAAACTCTGGCCAATTAAATTAAAGTCTTCCATATTCATCACTGTGGGTATCTTTAAGGTACTGCAAAAAAAGTTGAAACTGCAGGACTGCTTATTTGTTAACAGTCCAAGAATTACCTTGTTTAAAGTAATTTACAGTATATCAATTTAGGAACACATTTCAGGATTTTGGCATTTCTTTAAGAGCAACAATTTAAATTAAATTTAGAAAAAATATAATATATGCATGTAGCCCGAGTAAAAATGAATCATTCGACAAATGGACATTCACAGCAAGCAAACAATATTTGTAGCCAATTCCATGTTTAACAGTTCAGTTGCACCAAAAGGTAGATTTGAACCTGACCCGCTCTCACAGAATAAATACAAACTGGACACTAAGTTAACAAGAACTCAACAGCTCATATGCAGAAGAGCTGCCATAGTTTTTGCACTGACTTTACATGCACATATGTACACATGTAAATGTGACTATATGCACTAACAACATCTGCACCTTTGATGAGTAATGTTAAACTCGGGGGAGGACTCACCTGATAATTGGCTTCTGGAGTTCAGGTTGAGTATAATGCACAAGATGCTGCAGGATTCCCCAGAGAGAAATAGGTATAGTCATAAACACAAATATCCCTGCAATGAACCATGCTTTATTGTGTGTCCCAACCTGAGGGTGACAAAGGAAACAACAATGTAACAGACCCACCTATGGCTATGAAACTACATGATGTCACATACAGCCGGCTTGACTATATTCTTCAGGACACAAAATGTAGGCTACACATGGTTCAGTGAGGATTTGTGCCATGCTCCACACTTAATGAAGAAATGTGAAGAGGACTTTAAAAAAAGGAAAATAGAAAACTCCATAAAATAGAATCTGTAATGGATTTTTAAACTTCTGAACATGGCATATAATATACCTACAAAATCATATTTACCCCTATGTAAATATTTTAAGTATTCTGAAATGCAGGCTACATAACATTTCATAGCCTACAAATCAAGATATAATAGTGTCAAAACTGCTCCCACCAAATTTTGTCTTAGAAGGGTGAATATATAACTCAGGTTTTGCTCTTGTCCATAAAAGTGTACAGTTTTAGTATTCTAGTTAAAATATAAACTTAGAAAGGTCGTATATACATAATTTGTACAGCTACAATATAGAACATGAATTATAGGGATGAATACTTTTGCAAGGCACTATCTACAAGGTATGGCAATGTGAACAGTGAATATTCAGAAATATGTAAATATTTTTCAATTATCCTAGTGACATAAGCAGTGCTGCTTTTCATATTTATCACATGTCAATTCACATAAAGATCTGGGACTATACCTGCATTACACTGAATCCGAGTTTAGTAACTGTTTATTAAAGACCTAAATTTTAATCCTGCTGTACATACAATGCAAACGTCACTCCGCAGTTACGTGGACGAGACCAAATTTAAAGATCTCGGAAAACGATTTGTTACAGCACACTCCAAGAGATACTTCAGCGGCTGCATTTTTGTATTTAAGCAGCAACAAATCAAATAAGATCGAGAACTGTGTAAAACTAGATGTATTGTGAAACGTTGCATTCCTGTAGAATTCGCTTGCTTATCTTATAAGACACGTTATTTTTAAAATAAAGTTCTCAAGGCCCGTTTACTAAGTCATATTTGCTCTTACCACCCATCCCTCCTGTCTGCAACTGTTTGGCATCAGTGTGTGAGAGGACCAGATAATGTGATTGGTGTGGCTGTTGACTCATCCTGTAACGATCCGCAATCTTAATACCATATAGTGATATCATTCGGCTACCTGACAGGCATCGATTTGGTGACAACAATACACAGCTTGTTGTTGTTTTCCCCCCCAGCAGTCATAGGCCGGACCAAATACACCCTTTAACATCCTAAACGAAGAACGATTTTAATCTTACCTCCGATTTCTGCAGCTCCCAGACGCAAAAAGGCAAGACCACTAGCAACAGCAGTATGTACAGTACGACCACCAGCGGTCTGATCCACCGCCTCCAGTTTCCGCAAGTGCAAGGCATCTCTCAGTTACTGTTCGTACATTCAATGTGTGCCGCAAAGTGCAAATACAACGCTCAGCTACCAATCCAGAACATGAAGACGACAAGATCTTAAAACATGTTCAGGGTTTAGAAGTGGCAGCATAAAGGCGGTTGACATACTCTGAAATCACGAGACTGTCACGGTCGATAACTGTAAATAAACCATATTAGCGCTATTTACTGCACGTTTCGTGTCCCCCCAACATAACAAACACAGTCAGTGTTACAAGTGACAAGTGTCACAGCTCGTTAACCTAACGAATGCCAAACATACGTGAAAACTTTTTGTATTGTCTGTGCTGTTACAAAAGAAAACAAGTTTGCCTCACAAACAATGCACCCCCTGTATTTTCTTCAGTTTTGTCATTTCTTCGCGACAACCAAACACAGATTCATAAGGTCCGACCCACTTGCTAAATTCTGATTGGGTTTTTGTGTTACGTCACCACACATCTTTTTATTAAGTGGACATTCTACCTATCAATCAATATCTGGTGCAACATGAGGTTGTGCTAAAGTAAATGGTTTGGTTGGTCTATCATTTTCAAGAAAATACGATTTCAGGTTTGTTCACTGTAGTTTAAGAAGTGCAGTCAAGTGATGTGCGACTTGAGATAGGGTAATGGCTGATGATGTGTATTAGTGCGTTTACCAGTTCATTACCAGGGTATATTACTGCTATACTCTTAACAAAAAAGATTAAAATAAATAAGTCTGAGGATACCTATAATAAAAACCTCATTATTATTTTATACAGTTACTTTCATGACAGGATATCTCAAATCGCCTTATTGTGGAAGTGGAAACAACTAGCTGAGATAGAAAAAGGAACGCAACTTATTGAAAGCTTGAAAATGTTATTATCCTAAATAAATGTGACACAGTATTAATTACGATGGAATTCTAAGCATTTCATTGCACTTATGCATATGACAAACTGAACTGAATTCCATAGATAAGTTGCCTCTAGAAGGCCTCTATGTTTAAGTTTGGTGAGTTACAGTATAAGCTTGTTTTTATCTCATCCAAACTAAACTGTATATACTGTATACAGTCTCAACAAAAGTATTAGGAGAGCAAAGTTACAACTTTTTTTTTTGCTGTATAACCAGACAATTTGTATTTGTGGTCACAGGATCAATAAGAATGATTCAGTATGTACATTATAATATATCTTTTATTTTAAGTAATTCAATTCAGTTTCAATTCAGAACCTCCCAGCCACTTAATGAGTCTTTTAAAAAATATTGAAATGGAAGCAAATTACAACTTTTTAAATCCCCCAAAAATTAAAACATACTGTTCACAGCTAGTATGAAATGCAGTATTTCCAAGATTTACTTTTTCAATAATCTTCCCAAACCAATTACCTGCCAAGAAATTCAGTATGCACAGAAGTGTCAACTAATTTTCTCAGATTTGCTTAGTTTCACAAGATTATTTTCAGGCTTCACTGAATAAAAAAAACAGGCCATTGAGTTTTAGCAAACCAAGCCACCAACAGGAGTTGTGCAGTTTCTTCAAACTAGTGTTTATGCAATGCACATTGCGAAAATATTTTTTTAATAGTCTTGTTCAATTTCAATTATCATTTCTCGTTTTGTGAACCAACCTTTTTACTTAGTTTTACTTAGCTCCCAGCAGCTCATATAACAGCAAACGTCGCAATGTGGTGAAGCGGAGCACCTTTAATTATCAATCTTTGTAAATTTACAGGTAATCTAGTAGTCTACATTTGATATAAATTTGTAAATAAATAACATTTACTCTGGCAAGTTTTTTTAGTCTACTTGCTTAAAGTCTTTTTGAATTAATCCAAACAGGTCAGGATATATATAAAAAAAAGTTTTGTAATGAATTAACTTGTTTGATAAGCCTTGTAATAACATATGACTTATGGATAATGTTAAGAGTTGCAGCACACAATGTTAAAGAATATGTTCTATTTGTTATTTAGATTAAAGTTGTATGATTGATATGTAGGTTTTAGAATGAAAAACGACAAGACTCCACAGGGAATCAAATACACATTGATGTGATATTCACATGTCTGTATTGGTTAATAAGTTAAATGATTGTATTTTTGTAACTTGTATATTTATGTTATACTTGAGGAAGTAATGAGAATATTTTTCATGAGTTTAAAACTGAACAAATGCCATACTGTGGTGAAACGCAGCAGCATAAATTTACAGATCTACAGTAAATTAAATTAATATGATGTGCCTGGATGGGCAATTTGTAACTATGCTTAGTTATGGACCCTATGCAGACGATATAATCCGGAAGTAAGTGGAAAAGGACAATGAGAAAGAGACGAAGAGAATCAGGGCAGGTTGACAAACAGGGGGGCGTGACGACAGTGAACTCGTGCTCTTGGGGCGGATGTCCAAGGGAGTTCAGGGGGAAATCCGGGGCAAAGTCCAAGGTCCAAATCCAGTTGATCCAAGAGTTAAAAACTGGAACGGGATCCGGTACAGGGACAGGGAAATTAGAACAGGATGACAAGGCCAGGCCCTCTGAGCCCCAGATTCAGCAGGGTCAGGATGTCGATAGGAGGCCTATGTCCTCAAGCTGCAGACGTAGGGCAACTTGATGGTAAGCGGGCCTCCGGGCGTCTGTCTTCCAATGCAGAGCTGGGAGTAGCGAGAGCGCCCGGCTTAAGTAAGAAGGATCAGGATTGAGGAAAGGTGCATGGAATCAGCAAAATGTGAAAGAGCCGGAGCGCCCTTTAGAGGAGGCTGAAGCACTGCCAGATGTTTACCTAGTCTCAAATTTTATCTGAATCTTTATGAATTTCATTTGCTTCTTCTACGGTTTTGGTCAATCTTCCTATCTGCAAATTTCACTAGTTTCACTAGTAGCCAGAATCCAGATCACTGATATAAAGTTGTAAGAGTATCTGTCCTTGTTCAGAGCCTTGTGGTACTGCACTAAATGCATTACCCCAGTTTGAAATTTCACCTCTTGAATGGGGCAGTGGGGTGGTACAGTGGAAGTTCTGTCACTTCACAGATCTAAAGTCTTGGATTCAGATCTGTCTGTCTGTGTTGAGTTTGCATGTACTCATGCAGGTTTTCTCTGGGTACTCTGGTTTCCTCCAAAATGTGTTTAACCACAATGCTGTCCACGCTAATTGGCATCTCTACAGTGCCCGCTATATGTGTGTGTTGTAGCATCCTGCTCAACATGTAGTCGTACCTTGACCTATCCAGGGCAGACTCTGGTTCACTGCAACCCTCTGAAGATAAAGAGAGACACTAATGCCAGGAAAGTAAAGCTGGGGAAGACATTTTTTGTGTGACCTGGTTAACACACTAACACATTCAACTCCTTAAAATATCAATTATTACCACTAGAGGTCCTTGTAACTCAATAATTCACACCAGCATGCTTATCTTCCAAAACTTCAGAAAAGGCTTTCCTGTATTTAGCTGAAAGATCTGAAAAAGTTGTACATTAGGAAAGTATCTTTTAAGGTTATATGGTTGATTTATTTCCTCAATAATATAGTTAGAAGGCTGTTGCTGTTATTTGTTATTTGCTTAACAGACACCCTGATGCAGAGCTTCTTACCATAAACCGTATTAAATTACATCAAATCTGAGAAAAAAAGAACATGTATGAAGGTACAATGAGATTAAAAGAAAAATTAAAACTAAATGAATAATATGAGAATTAGGCTAGTACAAGCTGGGAAAACAATGCCACACAAACTAAATGAAGATGTAAGAACTAAAACAACATAGAGGTAGTGTGAATACTGAGCATAAGTGTCAGTGTCCTATAGACATGCATTCTGTGTTCACAGTAAATAAAAAAGTTACACTGCCAGTTTGAGAATTAAACTGATCAGTGCAATACCGTGTGAGAGTTATTGAAGAATGCAGCTGAGACGCCTAGGTTTCTGCCTAAATGTGAGTCTCAGGAGGACCCACGAAAAGGGGGTCAGGGACCGAGCGGTGTGATTTCTATGGGTAGTTCATCCCTGCTCTGGGGGGATGAGGGTGGAGATTGGAGGGGTTCTGGAAGTGAAGGAGAGGGGTACAGGACGTCTGAGGGAAGAGAAGCAGCAGACAGGGCAGTTGAAACAATAACAACAAAAGTTTCCCACATAAAAATAGTCAGCTGTACTGTACCTCACACATATTTTGGAAGAACAATAATGATAAAAGAAGATCCTGGTTACAATTTATGAAGATAGCTCAAGCTAACTAATCATATTATACAGTACATCTAAAATTAGGGATTCCCAAATCCAGCCCTGGAAGGCCATAGTCTTGTTGGTTTCTTTTCAGCATACCTATAACTCTAAATGATGAGGCATGAAGGAGTGTAGCCCTTCTGGAATGGAGCTGATTGGAGTTGAGAACTCTCTCTTTACATAAATTACGCTTGTAAAAGTTTCTTCATACTTTTTTTCTGTTGTGTGCCTGTCAGACTTGTAAAGTCTATATATGTTGCATATTGTGTGATGATGAGTATAGAGCAAGTGGAAACAACATTTAGACAGCACCCAGATGTTGGCTAAAGCTGAAAAAGTAGAAGCAGGAGCATGGAGGGGCATGTGTATAGACCCAGGACCTGAAAATCTCAGCTGTGGTCCTGCTGATGTACCCTTGAGCAAGACCTTCGTGTAGATCATTCTGGTGATTGATCACCAGTTGTACAAAAGTGTTAGCTGAATAAATGATAAGTTTTTAAGGTTATGAATAGTTGTGAAGTATTTCTGTTTATCTTTAGTTACTGCTGCCGTGGCACCTATACAAATGGATTAACATCCATACTGTATGTCAACAGTACATTGCACAGTACTGCAGATTAAAGCCGTTTTATATTTATAGTTTTTTCAGCTCCACATTCTAAATACATATCCTAATGGCATTTCCTCATTAAGGGGTTAGTGTGGAAAATCAATTTAAAATTCCTTGTAAAACAATTTTTTGCTGATGATAGAGGATATGTAAAACCAGATTAAAATTATTGTGTAAAGGAGGGAATGATAATTAATAACATTAGTAATTCCCTGCATTTTATCCCTAAGAAGTTCTAGTTGATTTACCACTGAAGTGTACACCTACCTGGGTGAGGAGGAGCCATCACAGGAGCCATCATGCACTAGCAGCTCACTATACTGTAAAATTTAGGTAGAGAATTGCTTCACCAATTGAATCGGGGGGGGGGGCATTAGGCAGGCTAGGTTGTAGAAGGCCAGAGTGGAATTCAGTCAGGACACTGGGATGATACACCTACACTTCCAAACAGTCCCTAGGGATCTGTAATGAATGACCACCATCTAATTTCTCATCAAAGCATGGTATCTCCTACAAGACAAAGGGAAAGAGTCCACCAGTCTTCTACTGGTGCACCAAGACAAGTTACCACAGCAGCCTGGTTT